CTCTCTCTCTCTCTCTCTCTCTCTCTCTCTCTCTCTCTTTGTTGCACTATTTGAATGCGAAAACGTATTACAAAGGATATTTTCTGGCTATGTTTAAATCTAGGGAGATAATCCATTGGGTTTTATCATATAAGATCAATCAATTAAAACAATACGGCTGTCGCATTCCACGTGCTAACATTTGTAACCAGATGCCTCGTTTTCATTTGACTAACAAACCGACGTCAGCCAATTAAATTATTTTTTGACGTCGAGACAGTGGCAACGTTTGTCAGCTTTACATAGATGTTAGTGGAATCGTTGAAGTATGTAGATGTATGCAATAACTTTTAATTGGATAATTCAATTCAAAGACCAGTCACACAAAGCTCAATTTGCTTCATATACAGTTGGGAGCAAACTTAACTTGGTGTCAAGTGCACACGTAGTGAACAAGGAAGTGCACATGAGAAAACATTGAAGTGCACGCCAGTTCACTTCGGTGTTAACTCCAATTCACTTCAGTGTTGACTCCAGTTCACTTCAGTATTAACTCCAGCGCAGAAATGTGTAGCCCCATTCAAATAATTCTGAACAGCTGACATTTAATAATTGGTTAGTGATATACATTGTATAGTGTTCATATGCCATAGATGAATAACGGATTTTAAAAAAATCGTTGAATATTTATGGTACAATTTCTTGATATGTATGATTTTCTACTTGAAATATTTAAGAAATGTTACATGTCTCTTGAACTTTTATAAATTCAGTAATACAAATGTAGCATTGCTATAACTTTAAGGGAACTGTCTAAAAGTATAACTGGTGGCTAAATTCTCATCCCAAAAAAATCAAATGTATAATTATGTACTGTTTTATTTGATATAATTGCCTTTTAAACTACAACTTTGATAAGTGAATAAAAGATTTAAAATAATTAAGTTATATTTTATTTCAAATATAGTGTAGATTATCTTATACAGTGACTTTTCGTAAATATTTCCCCTATAACAACAAAAATAAATGTAAACAGAGGTATGGTTTAAAATTCGGCAGCATGAAAAAAGTTCTTATCACAAAGGTCACACGTGTTTATGACAACAACTCAAAACACGTACAGCTGTATGTATTTGATTAAAAAGGACACACTTTTCAATTTATCAAAACAACTCAAAATGATTTACTCAACTCAACATGGCTTATGTACAGATAAAATGCTTGGCAAAGTATCTCCATCACATTTTGTAATTCTTCTGTCACGACACAACAGTTGTGATCAATTTTTTTCTACATTGCTTGCTGGCAAATATTTCTGTGACAATACGGATTAGAAAATATTTCTCATTTGATACACAGTGTGCCAACCACACATCTCCAAAACTCAACGTCCACAAATCACGTCTCAGATGATAAACCCAGTGTCAAATATCCCAGCTCGCGGTAGTCTAGAAGATATACAGGTAAATATGTAACTGTGGGACGAGCGACGCAGCCTTATCCGGCAATGACAACACAATAATACACTCTATACAGTATATACATATTTATTTACACTATATATAAAGATAATGTACACCACAGATTAATATAATATATACTCAATCACACTCACAACACACAAATAAATATAGTTTAAAGGAAATGTTCTGTCAAATCCAGATCCTCTTCTGTGAACTATCCTATAGGGACCACGCGTCCGGAACCAAATCAAAAATATATTGTGGATTTGTCCCTTTTGAGCAGAAGATTTGATAGGAAAGTGAATGCCTTGGGGCCTGCTGGTTGTATATTTAGAAGGCAGATTTTTCCAAAGCTTTATGTGTGGGTTAAGCAATATATATGGATGTAAAATGTATACAAAAAATAATTAAAATTGTTCAAGTCTGCCTTGTCTGGGAGAGTTTATTAAGTGTGTAATTTGTTGTAAATTTTGGTGCCGAATTTAATACAAAAGAAAAGATCAAATAGGTACAATTTGTGGAGAAAAAAAAATTACAGGTGTGTGAGATAACATTCTTCAAAATTAGGGCAGGTGAACCAGTGTGGATAACATAAACCCATTGAACCAGGACAGTGGTAAACGTTAACACCATCGTCTATGGAAAATCATTTGGTTCTACGGTCCCTAAACTCCTCTCGAACTAGAACAAAGTCTACCTTATACCAGCCATGGGTTAGGGTTGGCTATCCTACTGGACAGTGTCAAAACATACAAGTGTTTACACACGTCCACAATCTACTGGCACTGTAGACAAATGGGACGGTCTTACACAATAGACCATCGAATTCAGTGTAAGTCGTCCTCTATGCAAATAAACCGCTTGCTATCTTAGGATATGTCGTACCGCCGCTGTATCACACCCAAATGACCCTGTCATGGTCAGATCTGTCTGGTGTGTCGGCTGGTCTGTTCAACAGATGATCGATCCTCCAGATAATCTCAGGGTACAAAGCTGGCAAAAGATGGAAAATATGACTGCAGATGACGAAAATCCATAAAAAAATCACGTAATTTGAATGACACTTCACGATATCTCGCCCCAACTCTCAATTAGGGATGGATTTTGTCCGTGGTGTCTTAAAACTTGCCTTAGTTTACATGTAATATATGAGCTGACATGATTTCAAATGAGTAGTAGTTCAATGTACAACATGCCTTATAGTTATTGGTTGATTTATCTATCAATCTATTTATTCATATATTATTATATAATTTATTGCTTTTTACCGAAAGTCGATCTAAACCCCTAAAACATATAAAAATTACATTTTATGACTACTTGTTTTTATGCTATGACTATTGGACTAAATTTTCAAGGGGTTTGTCCATATGAATATATACAAGTTATTTTGTTATATAATGTTGTTTGAAACGTTTAACATGTAAGATTACAGTTATCTTAAAAGTAAGTCAAATGTACTGCAACCGTTCAAGGTATCTGCGTGTCAAATATTAAGACTACTTGGCACAGGTGGTACATGTACATACAAATATATATTTGATAGACTACTGACGTACGATACCACAGCATAGCATTACAGACACTTCGAGGCAGGAGAGTAAAACTATTTAATAAACAATGAAATATAGTAACTTGAAACTAAATAAAAAGACCACAACAGGATCCGAGAAGAGACATATAAACAAACCAGTGTTAAAAAAATAATGAGACTGTGATAGGTGTTGCGGAAAGTTAAACGCATTCTACATCATATTATGTAATACCTGTCGTAATGTCTGTCACCTTGTTGAAGGTCAACAGCTTTCTAAACTCAAATGAATATGTTTTTGTTTTGTTATATAATGTTATTTGAAACGTTTAACATTTAAGATTTCAATTATCTTAAAAGTAAGTGTGCTGCAACCGTTCAAGGTATCTGCTGGTCAAATATTAAGCCTACTTGGCACAGGTGGTACATAAAAATAGTTGATAAGACTACAGACGTACGATACCACAGCATAGCATTACAGACACTTCGAGGCAGGTGCAAACAAAATCCGATACTCTTTGTTATGATAAAGTGAACCTTATTTTTTAATCATACCATAAGTGTTTTGTTCACATAGATTCAGTGAGGCGGCAAACCGGTAGCCCGTTAGAGCTATAATATGAAAATGATTTATCAAAAACTGCCACTACTTTATCTGGAAACGAGGCCGCCAATTGCTTATCACACGATAAAAAATCTATAATTTATTCATTAACTTTTGAAATGCGCAACAGAAGTCTTAAAAAAATCTTCACAGATTCAATTAGACTTTGTAAAAAAACTGTTGCCCGACTCATACAATGCACGTGCGCGCACCTTTTTAAACACATTCAAACGCAATCCGGTTCACCTAAATTAATCCGTTACGATGCTTCAACACGGATTCCGACATCATCAGTATCGCACGAGAATCTACATGTCATCAAGCCAACAACAGCTGATCGCTGTAAGTAATTTATTCCTCTGAATTTAGTGTCCTTAAACTGTCGCTCGGTGCCCGAATAATATATAATTGGTATAATGAAAATCTCCGCGTAGAAAACAGAACCGTAGAAAAGCAGAGAAACAGTGGCGAAGGACCAAAATAACCGTTAATTAACAGATGTATAGGGAACAATGTCGGCTAATTGGTTCACTTCTAATTCAGTCAAAGGGGGCTTATTGTTTCGAAACAATTGGAGAATGTCGTAAGGACCATAGACAGCTTTTTAGACTCATTAAAACTTAATGGTTCAGAAAGGTGAAATTGTCCTACCAAGCTGTCATTCTGAAAAAGACTTGTCGAACAAGTTCAGCGATTATTTTCTGAATAAAATCAGCTCGACCAGGAAAAATATGTCGGAAGTGAACTCTACTGCTGACAATGATATTTCTGTCATGATAGCTGACATTAAAGTTGATGGGGAACCATAGACAAAGCTCTCACCAACAACCCAGGACGAGTTGCGCTATATCATTGTGA